CCCCCTACAATGACTCGTTTTCGACAGAAATAGGGGAGAGTGGGGCAAAATGAAACAGTCACAAAAACGACTCTTTGACGCAATTAAAAAAAAAATTTAATAAAATTTTTTTTTTTTATAAGAGAATGGAAAATTATTGAGAAGTTTTGCCGGGCGAAAATTTTGTCAATGGATTAATTGAAAAACAAATGAAACAACAAAATCCAAAGTCCAGAGGAAGGCCCAAGGGGAGACCCAGAGGGGGAAAAAGGATAATGTGATGCTGAATGTCAATCGAATAATTCATTGAAAAAATCTTCGTCCATCAAAACTTCTCAATAATTCTTCATTCTACGGAATGGCAAATTATTATTTTCATCAGTGCTCCCGAGAATTAAAAAAATTTGATAAAAAAATATATTTAAGGCCCAGGTGTACTGTCTTTCGAATGTTATCTGGATTTTTTTTATCTTTCGTAATGCAAAATTGTCATTTGAGTGGTACACCATGTAGAAATTCCCAAAAATTATGATAGAATGATAAAAGAAAATAGAAAAAATTCTGAAATTTTTCAAAGATCGTTTTTAATTGAGATTCAGAATGAGTTGAAAAAAGTGGAAATTACAAATATCTGATTCGCTGTGGCAAATTATCTATTAGCTGTCATTTTCCATGGTGGATATCAAAACGCTAACTCCCCATGGCAAGTGACAGCTAGGTATCTCAATTTTCAAAACAGTGGTATGTAGTCATCTGCCATTTTTATGTGATACAATTGTGATTAAAAAATTCTCCGAAATATTACAACTTTTTCCGAAGAGCCTTTTCCATAATAAATGTCTCTGTGCAGTGTGGGAAAAGATTTACGGAATCAGTCTTCCCCCTGCATGATATTAGTTGACAGTCCGCCGTTTGTCACCGTAAATCAGATATATTTTTCAATTTCTTGTTATTCAACTTATTCTGAATATAAATTAAAAATGTTCTTTGAAAAAATTGTGAATTTTTTCTACTTTTTTTTTATTATTTATTCATAATTTTTCAAAACTTCTGCATGATGCAGGACTTAATTGACAATTTCAGATGACGAAAGATGAAAAAAAAACATCGAGATAACGTTCGAAAGATAGTACAACCGGGCCTTCATAAAAAAAATTTTTTTTTGCTTGAATTGCCTCAAACAGTTGTTTTTTTGACTGTTTCATTTTGCCCCACTCTCCCCTACATAATTGAGACAATTTTCAAGTTCATAATCTGATTTTATCATTTCACTAGTAAATAAAGTTTTTCCCTATTAATTCCTCACCAATTTCAGAGGTAATTGTCCAGTTATCAGCGAATTTGACGTTGAATATTTGAATGGTGCCATAGATGACTGCTGAGTAGACAGTGATGCAAACGAGGGTTGAGAGTATCTGAGTGATTGCCGAGGCACCTTTTTTTGACTTTTTCTTGTAGAAGAATTGATCGTCGAGGAGAGCGATGAGGCCACAGATCACCAAGAAGTCTCGGAAATTCCAGTTTCCAGTCGTGATGATGTGAATTTGCAAAAACATCTGAAAGAAACAACAATTTCAGCGATTGATTGAAAGTAAATAATTAATTCAGTAGCAAAATTGTCAAACAAAAAGATTAAACACGATCCAATTTTTAGTTTTGAATCAATATCTCCGGATGTAAGTAAGATGGAAAAATTCCTATGAAATTTACCATCATTAGACAAATTTTCTAGTTTCATTTTTTATATTTTTTTTTAAATTCTTTATACCTTTTATTTATCATTGTCGTTATTTATGATACGAGTGAGTACAAGTAAAGGAAATACAATGAATAAATAGATAGATGTGTTTCACACATGAATAATTACCTGAATATAATAAGCAGTTATCCTGACTCTCCTATTAGGGAAGAAGAAAAGAAGTGGAATGACCAATTCGAAGACAACAGCTAGAAGGGTGTTCAAACGTAGAAACCATGATGGAAGATGGTGGGCGTACCAGCCGAGTGGAGCAGGTAGGCATTGCGTCTCAAAATGATGGGAAAGGGCTAAAAGAAATCAACGAAAATTGTATTTCACTTGTCATTATTGGCTTCCGGATGGATGTCGCGTTTGGTTTCAGCATTGCGCCGACGTTTCGCAAACATTGCAGTCTGGATCTTCAGGGCTATGAGCTCCGATTCATGAGATCATTTCAGATCATCAAAATAAAAAAAAAACCGAGATCACGTTCGAAAGATAATCCACCCGGGCCGTAAATGAAAAGAATAAAATTAATTACTAAAATTGCTGTTACGCTACAGAATGGTTAAATGGTTTCGGAGTACGCGGATTTAAATTTAGTTGAAGACCAATGGCCGATCGCTTGGGCCTCCCATCGTACTCTTCCGGAACCAAGGAGCTTGAGAGACGCTTGAAGCCCCAAAATGCTAAGAAAAGCGTTCTCACTGTTTTTGTCACTAACATTGCCTTGGCATTGTCACTGCCACTGTCTCTCTTGTCATCGAGAGACCGCTCTCTTGCAGTTGTCAGCAAGAATCAGGGTATCCATAAGCTGAATAAAAACTGTCAAAATAATATTTTAAGACGCCTATAAAACCCTACGCGTCACATTAAAAATAATATAACTGCATAAAATATTGTTTAAATAACTTAAAATGACGGACTGGTAATCAATTGGAAAAACGTCGAGAGATATTTTTTGTAGAAAAATCTTTTAAATCATCATTTTTGGAGGAATAATGCCTCCTGGAAATTTTTCTCAAAGATCCTCAAATATAAAATATCAATGAACAATGAACAACTAAGAGTCTCCAACAATTCAATCTAGTCCAGGCGTCAGAGGTTGAAACTGACCAGATTCACCAAATAATTCCTAGAGAAATTTTTTTTTTCTATCGCTTTATTTTATATTTATAAAGTAAATATTAAAAATGCGTACAAAAATTCAAAGCGGAACATTTGTTTAAACAAATGAAAAGATAGATTTTAGCGTTTTTTGCGAATATCGCCGGTAATATCGAATTTACGATAAAAAATCTAGAGTACAAAATTATTCCCGATTAAATTATCAACAAAAAAGGTCTTTACATATTTTTTGATTGGGATGATAGTTTTGAAGATATGATCGTGCGGAGGAACGCGCCACCCTCCAAATCTGCCGCTGCGCTGTAACAGACACCGGACTACATGTGATGCCATTTTCAACATTGGAAAAATTATGCTTTTTCGATTATAACTACGCAAGAGGAGAAGAATCATAGAATAAAAAATGAATTGAATTGATGTAGCATTATCCTAAATAAATGATTATTATATTTGATTTTATTTCTCAAATTTGTTCCCTTGAAACATTGACAGACGTTTCCTCTCATGACAATGAAAGTTCCTATTGAAAATGGGTTCGTTCGGAAGTATACTACCAATAAAAAGAAGAAAGACAAATAACGCAGTCTATTCATTTAACATGTACTATGAATTACAGTCAATATAATTCCCATAGTTATTATGTTGACTGTAATTCATATTATGAGATGCCAAGATCTCTTCATTATTTTATGGGAAAATTCCTGATTTGTTCATTTTTGAATCAGGAATAAGATAAATTTGTGGGCTATATGGTTTTTTAATGGAGAAATATTGCTTGGAAATAATTTAAATATCATTCAATTCCAACCGATCGATGCATTCGCTTATGCTAGCATTACGCGAGAGTTGGAGGGTGGCGCGCTCCTCCGCACGATCATATCTTCAAAACTACCATCGACATCAAAAAATATGCGAAGACTTTTTTTGTTGGTAATTTAATGGGGAATAATTTTGTACTTAAAATTTTTAATCGTAAAATCGATATTACCGGCGATATTTACAAAAAACGCTAAAATCTATCTTTTTATTTGTTTAAACAAGTGTTCCGCATTGAATTTTTGTACGCATTTTTGATATTCCTGTAGAGAATCATTAAAGAAAACAATAGAAAAAAAATGTTTTTCTCTAGGAATTTTTTAACAGAAAAACCTCTGACGCCTGGACTAATCATAGAACATAATTTAAACCCCTTAAAACAATAAATTGCCACTCAATTTATCTTCATAACTCCTAAAATTACTCTCAATTTGAAAAAATGTTTATTTTTATTAAAAATTTTCAATGCCAGAAAAACATCTTGAAAAATTTACCATCAAGATTCCACCAGACAGGACACCTGGACGCTAATTTCATAGCACTGCATGAGAACATGTATCTGAAAAGCATCCAGCGGATCGTCCAGAATGTAACGGAATCACTTGGCGTGCTAGTGCTTCCCCTAACTGAGACGTAAAAAGGTGCAATCAGCACGCAGAGGAAGCCGGCCTCTAGCAACAAAGTGTCCCTGGGAAAAAAAACATCAATAATTATGCTCAATGATTTCCCAATATATCTGCAATATAAAACAAGCAGTTGGCCGAGCCTATTGAGCAGGAGACATTTGACCATTACTTTTTTTGTTATTTATCTTTCCTCTTTTTATTTCTACCAATTCCATTGGTAGTATACTTCCGAACGAACCCATTTTCAATACGAACTTTCATTGTCATGAGAGAAAACGTCTGTCCAAATTTCAAGTTAATAATAATGATATTTCAATTTTCACACAGGCTAGAGCGCGCATACGTTTTGATTGATCTAGATAGAGGACACTGGGATGAGTATGTTGAAAAAAAAAGACACATTGAAATCGGTTGCGTAGTTTTTGAGACATAGCCCATAATAGGTTTTCAGGAAAAGTTGAATATCTCCGAAACTACTGGACCGATTGAGCCCATCTTCAATACCAGTCTTCCCTATCACAAGGGGAAGATTCTGTCTAAATTTCAAGTTGATATTCCAATTTTTGCGAAGGCTAGAGTGCGTACAAGGTTTTTCACGAAAAAACAGAAAATCGGGAATATCTCGAAAACTTAGTAGGGACGGCTATATATGTTTTGATTGATCTAGATAGAGGACATTGAGACGAGTATTTTGAAAAATGACAAATTGAAATTAGTCCACTAGTTTTGGAGAGATTCGCGAAAAACGATTCACAAACAAATTGCTTTTTCTCAAAAACGGTTGGACCGATCGAGTTGAAATCGTGCGCAGGGTTAGCCGTTAGGAAGACCTATAATCATGCAAAATTTCAGATTTTTTGGAATTATTTTACCCCATTATTCTTTCAGTTTTCAAAAAGGACATCTGGCCCTGGAGGTGTTCACATACACACATGGTGCCCAAACTTCGTATTTTTACGTTTCAGACCATTCTACATCGTTCCCAATCAAAATTAGAGAATGTGAAAATCGGTCGATTGCAATGCTTTCCGTTCGGAAGCAAAAACGTCTGCAATGAATGATTCTGCCCTTGAACGTATCGATATCTCCCCGTCTGGTCCCAGAGTCTCGATTTCTTTATCATATTACAATGCAACTCGATTGTTGTGCAATCGAGGTATATTACATGTTTTGAATTTATGAAAAAAACTCCAATTGCGAAGAATTGAATTTTCTTTTTTTTCAGAGTGAGTTATAGGTGATTATTGAATTTTCTTGGTAGTGGGGGATTTTTAAGGGATATGGTTGAAGTCAGTATTTATAAGAGATTTGGGCAACAATAAAAACTATCTCTTGATGTTTTGTCCTAGAATTCGAAGTAAACGAGGTGATTGCATAATTAAGGATATCCCAATACCTATTACAGTTCACTATACGCTATATTCTGAGATTTTCAAGCATTAAATTTGTTAGTTGAGAAATGTGAAAAATTTAATAAATCATTAGCGTCAATTCTTTTTTACAAATAGGTAATAGAGATTGTGGGATTTTTTTGAAACCGTTCCTTACCATGAGGTCCGGTAAAGTTTTACATAAAATTTATTACGATTACGAAAAACAAATTACTATGTGAAGTTAATTGTTCATATGTTATCCACAAAAAGAGATTCTAAGCTTCGTCAATTGCAATTTTCCAATTATTTCATAAATCGTTCTGAAAATATAGACTTGGAAATTTTTACTGATTGTTTATATGTTTCTGAATAGTTTAAACTGGAGAGTTAAATTTTGACATTCAAAGCTTTAGTCATCACACCGGTACAAAATGTTCGGTAATCTAGGCTTGAATAGAAGTTCTGATTAATTACAAGTTTTGAAAAGCATTCCAACGAAAAAAAGGACAAAGTACTTGAATATCCTCAGTAAAAATTGTTCCAGTAAGGACACATTATCTCATACACATTACTCATTAACGAGACAATTTTAAATTTAATGACCACCAATCGAGCAATAAATATGGAAATTTTATTAAGTATGCAAGTATATCAGTAATAAACCATTGTTGAAGAAAATATCAAGAGATTGTTTGTGGAAATTTTTTTTTTAACTACAAACAAGTACTTTGACATTGTACCCTAGTATCACTGCATCAACGCCAATTTAGCACCTTCGATAATCATGAAATTGTTTTGGTAATGAATGATTATAGGAGAAATTGTCCAAAAACTTTATTTGTAGATAATTTCGTCAGCTACAAATAAGACCTTTGAACATGTTCTGCTGACACCATTTGTTCTCGAGTTCATTTGACTGAAAATTCGAGTATCGTATCATCGCAAATATTCTTGGCAGTTGCAAAGATATTTACGATACCAGAATACTGAAATTTTTAGTCAAAAGCGAAATTGCATTTATGCAACAATGTCAAAGAACACTTTTTGTTCCAAACTCTATCAGTTGTCACATTTGATGAACTTAAATTGAGATTTTTTTAATAGTAATTGAATACTTATTCTTACCAGTTATTTTGGACGAAAACTTGTCCAACCTGGAATAGAGAGTAGTAGAGAGTCCAGAGGAGCATGAACACTGGAGCAATGCAGAGTTTTTGGGAGATGAAACTGTTGAAACAAATCAAATTGAATACTTTATCACGAACCAATTGACAAAGTGAATTTTTATTATATTTTCATCGAAATTACCCCAAAAATGAGATCACAGCTCCAGTGATGGCTACCAAATCCATCATGTATTCGACATTCAGTCCAAGGTAACTCGCAAACCACAAAACTGTAGGTTTATGATTCAGTTTATGCCAGAGAGAACCTCTTCCCTTGAGGTCCACCTGCGTTCGAGCTGGTAGTACTCCATTATCTCCGAACAACCCTTGACATCATGAAAAGTTATTAATGACTGGTCAAATGCCGTAACGCAATGCAACAGAGTAACAGACAATTCTTATCGGTAGTTTTTATAAGTTATATAATAAAATAACAGTAAGTTGACATTCGTCTTTTTTTTAGGCATGATAACGTGAGGAGCAAAGTTTAACAATCGAACGATAGAATTAGAATTTTTTCATCTTTTTTAATGAAGCGATAATGGAATGTTCATGCGACTGTGACGATAACAATGTCGTTGAGAAAGTAAATCCGACAAACATGAGTGGATGAATGAGGGTGGATAAAATAACTAAAAATAGGTCTGACTGTTAGTCGTTGATTATCTTGGTGACGAGTGGCTTTGGAAGAAAATATCAAAAAGAAAGTTTTGTAGGGAATTCTACGGGCTACAAAAACATCTGTTGACATTTTTTGCTCAAACCGCTCGTTATGGACATAAGGGTGAACTTATTATTAAAGATATTTCATTTGACTCAAATGTTATCGTAATCCACTAGTAGAACTTCCTTGAAAAGTGTCAAATTAGAGTCCAAAGAGATCGATCATTAAACCGGACGTGTAGGTTTCTAATACGTTATTGATAAGTGATTGTGAATAATCCCAAAAATGGTCATAGCTACAGGTGATTGTTGATTATCTTGCTAATGGACGGTGATAAGAAAAAATGTCAAACGCTATTTTGTGGAGCTTACGAAATTGTTTAGAGAAAATATTTCTCAATAGTTTTTCCTATCATCGGATTAAAAAAAATATTCATGAACATCGAGGCATGTTAAGTATCGAAGTATCTCCATAATGAGTGACGCTATGAGGAAATGTTAGAAGACCGTTTTTGCAGCCCACAGTGTTTTCTATAAAAAGGTCCCTTTACCGTTATGTATAGGATGTCTGTTACACTCAGATAGTTCATCAGACATCCTAGAATTTAAACAAAATAGTGAATAAATAAACCAAAGTCGAACGGAAATACCAAAGTAGATACGCTAATTATCGAAAAATATGATTTTAGAAAGAAAAATGTCCATAGAGGCTATTTGTAGCTGATAAAATGCATTCCCGCGTATCTCTGAAGAAACAATACAGCGGAACAGAAATGAAATCCTTAAAAATACCTGACTGAACCGAACAAAAAATCTGTAGAATTTTGGAAATCGAAATAAGTTGTCGCCCACCGGCCACCGGTAGTGGGCTCACGTTCCGAAAAAATGCCGCCTGGACCATACGGACGCATCCATAACGCCCAAGAGTACCTATAGTTAACCCCTCAAACTCCAAAAACACTCAAAAGAAAAACGAAAGTGATTTCCTGGGACCCATTAGTACTCCTTCATACCTCCACATCATCAATAATCATCAGTAAACAGTTATAGTTCTCCTCAATTCTAGACTCCAGCTAAATTTACCAATTAATTATTATTGAAAACTCACCGGGAATCTGCACGTAAAAACTGAGAAATGCGAAGAGATAAATAATACAAACTCCACGTAGGAATAAATTTCTGGTGTATCGCACCTCCACCATCGTAACTCGGTGAACAATCTTTAATTGAATTATTCTTCTACTTCAGTCAGTATGTTGTACATTTATTTGAAGAGTGGGACTTAATAATTTGTGAATATTGCTGGCAAAGACCACTCGGCACAACTTCGCGGTTGGGCAAAAAGCAGGGGGAAAAGCAGGCAAATGCCGTTCGTTCGTTCGATAGGCAGGGGGAGAGGAGCGGGTATGGGATGACGCGCTCGGTGGAGAGCATGCAGGCATGCCAACAGGATTTCAATCTGACAAACATAAAGAAATAGCAATTAAGGTACTATTTCCAGGACGCGCAATGTTCAAAATGTGGGTTTCCATCCGATCTCTTATATCCTGAGTTGAGCATATTTCGTCGATGTGAGTTTTCGAGATGATATGGTCAATAGACCAGGTCAAACTTCGAAAATAAATTTTAAATAGGTAACACACAGAAAGCCTCGTTGCCCAGGCTCCCCGGGATTTGTGCGGCCACTCTAAGTGGTGCTCAAAAATGTCAAAAAGAGTTAGAAACCTATTTACAGGAAGGTTCAACTAAAAAATCACAAGAGTCGAAACGCAAAGGGTGAAAAGCATGTAGAACGAACAATCATAAGGATTGAACATCGCAAGAATGATAGGAGAGGGTGGGGCAATATGGACACCACATTTAAATAATGAGTTGAATTGGATCAAAACTACTATCCCAACTTCATTTGACAGTTACAAAAACAAACACATTGTCAAAAGACTGCGTCGTAGGAGTTGTAAGGTCAAGCAAAAAAGGGGGAAAATGGATGCTTCGATTTCTGCCTCAATAGGGAACTTGCATGAATTTTGTTTATTTTCTATTTCGAAAGGTCATCATCTCAATTTTATATTTTTAGTATCTACACTTTCAAAAAGTTGCACAATAATTACTAGCTAATTATTGAAAATTGCATACTTTCAAAACGCTCATGACGTCACGTCATGGTTAACCGCTAGCCGACCAATCACGCGACGTATGTGAGACAAGCTAACCTACTTTCTGCGCGCGCATCCTATGTCTAATATACAGAGACGTCATTGACCGGTGAATGACGTCATGAGGTATTTTCAGACCATTCAAAAGACCTAATTTTCAAATCATTATTATAAATTATGCAAGTGAAATTTCGTGAATTTTTCAGTAATTCAGCTGTCTATTGGGTACGAACAATCTATCAAACGAGTGATGAGCAGATATTGAATTTCGTGTAAGTTCCCTATATTTTTTATGTTTCAACAATATTATTCCATTTCAAAAAAACATTAGTCATGACTGCGATTTTCAAATTGAAGAAAAAAACTCATTTTTGATTTTTATCGTGGGGATGATAAACCAAATTTTTCTTTGCTCATTTATTCTCCCCTCCCTCCATTGTTTTATAATAATTTCCTTTTTGAGTAAAAAAGCAGACATCTTACAAATTTCGCATCTGGACAAAAGGTCAGTTGTGTAGGGCATGTATTGTTCATTGAAAACCATAAATAATTTCAAAGTTATTTCAATAGTAACACATGAAATCCAAAGCTACTCTATATTTCCAACTTCAATATAAAATTCAATTGAGTTAAAGTTTATTTGTTAATATCTCTTCCAAATCTAATGTCGCTATAGAAACATAGTATATTCTGTTGGAAAATGGCTGTTGAAAATTTTCTTGGTTAAAAGTTGAATAGGACCAACTTTTTTAGGTGTCCATTTGACCCCACTCTTGAATAATTTTCGGGCTGAGGTTCTTGCCCAGAAGCAATTTTTTAAAATTCGATTATTGAAAATGTTTTGAGCCTTCATTTTAGTCCATCAAATACGGATTTATCAGGTGTTCATATTATCCAATGAAACAATTTTCAAAAATTTGGATTTTGGAAAGAAAATATTTTTCGCAAATTTTTTGAGTGCCCATTTTACCCCAGGTGTCCATATTGCCCCACCCTCCCAATTATCACGCGAAGGTTGTACCCCCCGACAGTAAAAAATCAGGAGCCCACCCGACAGAACAATCTAGAGGGTGAAGCTACCAAAATGGCCAATCGAAAAAAGTAGACAGCACAATCACATACAGAGCATCATCATTATAGAGTTTCGAGACACCCCCAAAAAAAACGCTTCTAAATTGACCGACCGATCACTCGCGTTTTAATGCGTAATTTTTTTTTTGAATAATGAAATATGATCACGAAACGTCAAGTAAACAATGTCCAATCAATTTTAGGCATTGCAACTATTTATTATCAACAATTTAATTGTTCAAATCGCCTTAGCGTCCAAACTATGGAAGATATACGAAAATTTTTACATCACGAATCATTTAGAATTTGATAAGGAATAATTTTTGTATTTTGTCAATTTTACATATCTCCTTCAGATTTCGAGATATGAACAAGGAAAGAGTTGCATCACCCAACACAGCGCACTCAAGCCCATCGCGCGCCGCAAGTAGAGAGCGCTATGTCGGATCGCGTAACTAGTTTATTGCTCATATCTCGGAATTTACGAGATACGTAAAATTAATACTAGACAAAAATTATTCCTTATTAAATTCTAGATGATTTATGTTTTGAAAATTGTCATCTATACTTCATAGTTTGGGTGCTAGGCGATTTGAACAATTTAATTGTTAATAAGAAATAATTCCAATGCCTAAAATTAATTGAAAATTGTTTACTTGGCGTTTAGTGATCATATTTTATTGTTTAAAACAAGAATTACGCATTAGAACGCGAGTGCGGTCGGTACATGTCTGAAAATCAAGGGTGTCCCGTAGCTCTACATGAATCTAGCGATCATGAAAATCAAACAAAAGGGTCGAGTAGATTAATTACAAGGGTCAAACAGGAGAGGTGGCCTGGATAATCGTTTGTGATTATCATGTTTGCCTACCTCTCACTTTCGATCCTTGTTATTGTTTGATCCTCATTAGATATGAGAAATTATCACTGTTTCACATCACGCCAATGAAAATGAAGGGCATGTCCAAAAGCTCCCATGTAATTTACCTCAAGTAATTCACATGGCCGACCCTGGTTATACTGTTACGTCCCAAATGGTTTACACTCAATTCTCTGTTGAATGAATTTAAGGAATAGTTAAATTGACCCTTTGGTCGGTAACTCCAGGTGTTGAGGGAAACTATCTCCTTAGGTAGGTTTCACTAATCAACTACTACGCGCAGTTGACCAATCAAGACACGATTTAGAGTGCTTCGTTTAATGAGATTTATTTAATAACAATAACACTTGGTTTTATTACACTGTTTCAGAATTGTAGGTTCAGGGTTTTTTTAAGTGACCCTTGTGGGTTGACGGTTGTTAATGTTTAAATGTTCTTGTTTTGTTTTGGTTTATTTTATGATTCGACTTCTATTTAATTAAATTGGTATTTGTGTTTAAGTCCCGAACACTTTGAATTTAGACCTTGGATATTTGGAGTTGAAGTATTCACTGAGACTTTACTTGGACTTGAAGTTTCACTTTAAGATTTTTAGAGAAGTTGTATTCCTTTCTCTTTGACCGTGGATATAGAAGTGATTTTACTAAGATGAGATTTGAATATCTTAGGGCTCGCGCGTGGGCGTACACGCTCTAGTTTCTGAGGGTAGGATTGGTTCATTAGGGATGGTGGTGAGGAGAGAGGCGAACCGATTGGTTTTAGGTCAATCGGGGAGCCTTGAAAGTCGTGATTGGATTAGGAGCAATTAAGGGTACAGCTGCATTTTACTCTTGAGAAAAATTCTGTTCTCACGGAACGTTAGAATTTGGAAAACGTCATTTGACACTTATGATTTTCGGGTTTCTTGGTTTCGCCGTGTTCGGTTTACAATTTCAGGATGCTAGTGTTTATCTTAAAGATTTAGTTGGTTCTTTTTCATGTTTTTTGGATAATTTATTATGCACGTGTGCATACGAGTGGTTTTCGGTTTCGTTTGAAATGTGGGAAAGCTAGTTTTATGATTTTCTCAGGAAAAAGTGGTCTGGACACTTGAGTGTTATCTCTGTTTGAAACTAAATAATATTCTAATTTACTACGTTTGAAAAAATATAATTGGGAATTGGGACTTATATACTAATTGTGGGTAAGACTCGACAGTTGATAAGGTAAATGAAAAATTGAGCTAGCGCCATCAGGTGGCTAATGGTAGGGACGTAACAATACCAATGAATTGGAGGTATCCAAATATTTTGGTCATTTTTTTGTTGGCATTTTTTGGAACACTTTCTATTCCACTGAAGACTGCTTGATGGGAAGGGCGGGCCATCGAGTGCCTTGGAATGGTAATAATTTTTCAGAAATTATTATTTTCAGACTTTATGCAGAAAAGTATAGAATTGATAAACCCAATAGGGACTGATTTCATGCACTCGGTCTGTTGATGGTTGGTCGATGGTCAAAACTTGGTCAATGTTTTTTCAATGTCAATGTCCTTCCCTTCAATTTTTGCATTCTTTGATTCATACTAAATATTTTCAGACATAAAACGTGCGACCTAATCTCGAATTCGTCAGCAGTTTAGGAAAAAGGTTTATGCAGTTTTGAATAGAGAGATTCTTTGAGGTATCAACTGTGGTGATGGTGGTGGAACTCACAGAAAAGGATAAGGTGAATGGCCCTATTATATGTTCGATATTTCCATTTTTACAAAATCCAGTGTAACGATTTTTGAAGTCTCTATTCCGCTTATCAAGTAATTTAATATATGATAAACATGTACATTTTGTTATGTACTGTAATGTTTTGTTTACAGTAATTGTAAAAAGAGAGAAATTCATTTCTCGCTGTAGTGTTTTATACTGTAATTTTATTAACTGTAAAAAATAAATATATATATAGGCTAGTACATATGTATATAGTACATAATACATCCCAAAAAATAAAAAAGAACGCAAAAAGCAAAAGAGAAACGAAGAAGAAGATGAAGAGGATTATGACGATTCCGAATAAATTATTCAATCATTAAATTCTTATTGTGAAAAATTTTGTTGAAACCATTCATTTTTCTTGAATTATTATTGAGATAAAAATTAATGAAAGTGAGAAACGGTAAGGTTTTACTATTCTGGCACCTATGGAAAACAAGCAAAGCGCGCGCCCTCTTCTGGTTTATCGAAATGAGTGTGAAGACAGGATCCCTTTCCCTATATAAAAGATCCGTGAGGTGAAAAGTGTCATGGCGGAGGTCCATGGGCACTGAACGTTCTGATTGGTCGAATGGAATGGCAAGTATCATGGCGGTCCGGGAATTATCCAAATGTCATGTTAGATGGTGCACGCATACTTTTTCAAAGGGAGTCATTAGTTCTCACACAAATTAATAATTATATAAAATGTGTAGCATAATTAAACTATATCATTCCAGTAGAAAATAGTAATAATTTTTATCATTGATATTCAAAAAAATGTTAAAACGCCACAACTGTGATGGTTTACATCAGTGATTGGCGGTAGTAATGCTGAAGATAGGAAACTTCATTGTTCCAATCGTTGGGCCAGTGTTTACTAGCGGTGGCGCTGATGGCGAGCTCCATCAGTAACGATGCGATCGCAGCCCCCTCATTGATAGATAGGTGGCGCTGCGCATATCTCCGGTANACATCGGTGATTGGCGGTAGTAATGCTGAAGATAGGAAACGTCATTGTTCCAATCGTTGGGCCAGTGTTTACTAGCGGTGGCGCTGATGGCGAGCTCCATCAGTAACGATGCGATCGCAGCCCCCTCATTGATAGATAGGTGGCGCTGCGCATATCTCCGGTAACGAGTAGAGTTTCTCGCCTCTATAATAGTGAGTTCATCAGTCGTAGAGGAAATAGGATCTTTCTTTCTGCGACTGACCACCGAGGAGAACGAATCAACCACAATTAATTTGACCGGTGTTTTGTGTTTGTAAAGTGAAACTTTTTCCTTATATAAAAAAAGCATGCATTGGAAACTGTCATGGCGGAGAGCATGTAAAAAGTGTCATGGCAGCGCATGAAGGATGCATTCTCATCATGAGAATGAGCAATGCGGCCGCGACGGCGCTGTTCAGGGAAGCGCGCGTAAATTACAAATCGGATTCTCTATGTGAAATGAAAAATTGTTCGAATGATGGTTGATAATTGGATAACTTGAAAGCCAAGAATGGAATGAAATAAGTGGGAAATTACGTTTATCGTCATATAGTATATGCATATTTTCTACACATGGATTTGTTTATAATGAGGGGAATGGGAAATTATTTTTTGGTGATGGATGTTAAAAATTGAAAGGTAGTTGAAATGATTGATACTTAGATGAACTTTAATGTCAAGAGTGGAATAAAATAGAAGTGATTAATTCCTTTCGTCACAATATAGTCAATATATTTTTACTCCTAAATTAACAATTCGCTTCCGCATGGAATTTCTATAATGGTGGATTTTCCAATTGAATTCAATGATTTATTGTATTCAATATCGCCTCAATGTTGGCAGCCAGCATTGCCTCAAAAATATTGGTTTCAAAATAATTTTTTTCAACAACAGATGATGCAATCAATCTCATGATCGAACTTGGTTAAGATGGGATTAGGAACCATATTTTAAATCATAATTATCGTAGAAAAACGATCGGTCACACACATACATACATACATACGGACATGGTCTAAAAATTGCATATTCGAACTTCTGAGGCCAAAAGTAGTTATCCTGATGCAAAAATTGGCATTTTCGGATTCGACAAATGGTCCCATTCGGAAGCAACAATTATGAAATGTAAAAATGGAATGATTTTATTGCTTTCATTCGGAAGTAAAATAAATCTCATGTTTTTCTAAATGATTCAGACCAAATTCGAGACTTATGTAAATAATTTGATTCCAATTTTTTTATTAAATTTTCTTTTAGAAGCTTTGTGTAATGAAATGAATACTTAAACCACAAAATCAAAGAATATTGAATATTCTCCATGGAATAAAAAAGTCGGAATATTTTTTATTCAAAGATTTTAAATCATTTAATTTATCAATTAAATTGGCTAGGAAAAGCTCGAAAATAAAGAATGGCGTAATGGAATAAATAATTAGCGGAGTTCGAACAAAATTCCATAAATACTTGCTTTTACCAACATTCTCTTCTTAGGAATGAATAATAGAATGTCTCAAATTTCCGAAAAATATAATTTTTTCACATAAAATTGATTTTTGGTGTGATTTTTGGAGCAGAAAAATTCGTTTCAATTCAGGAAAAATTATTCTTTGAATGAAAAATTGATTATGATGGAATCATTTATAAAAACACAGTTATGGTCTCCGAAAATCGCAATTTTTTCAATCATTTCATTAGTCTACTTCCAAAAGTCGACTTTCCATTTTTTTAAATATATTTTTTAAATATTCGCTCATATTTAGGAGTACATAGCAGTTATACTGTTGAAAAAAAAGATTAAAATTTTAAGGACAGTTTAATAGTAAATTTTAAGAGTTAGAGGTACAAGTCTTGAAATGTAAAAGTTCACTAGAAATTAACTGCGATTGAACATTTTTTAACAGCATGGAGATAAAAACTCTCAAGTTCCTTAAATTCTCATTCAATATATGAATATTCTGTACCTAAAATTACTGGATAGTTTCGGATGCTAAAGCAATTATAATTGTCCAAATCGAAAATAGAATTATTCAACTTTCTTAATGTTGCGTTTAGTAAGGTTTTCTCCAAAGTTGATAGCTAGAATTATGAGATTATAGAATTTGAATGCGACACAATGAAAACCATGATCAATTTTTTTGCTTCAAAAAATGATAATAATAATATCCAAATTAAAAAATTGCAGAGAACAAGAATGATGATATTTGTGTCATATCCTCTGAATCATTAACATGAATGTCAGATTCACGAAAAAGGTTGGAGCAGAAGTCACACGGTCATTTCAAGTTTTTATTTTCAATTTGGCGCTGGAAACATGAAATGACGATATTCAGAGGGAGCCAGTTTTTTCCCAATGTAAGATGATTCGGCAGTTTTCCGGAGAATTTAAAACAATTATGAGGTTTTCTGAAAAAATTCGAGAAAACTGAATTCTTCGAAAATTGGAGGAAATTTTGGGTATCTCTCAAATATTGAAGAATTTTTGAATAAATAATGAGAGAACAATTGGTAGGAAAAGGTGGAATTTTCCAAATAAAACTGATGTGAAGGAGTCCCGAGCTTCCAACAACTGCACTCTGATTGATGGAAATGAGAAGGAACATAATTTTTAAAAATTCGAAAATTTCCTCGGATTTTCTCAACAATTTCACAAACATTTTTTTGTTAATTCACAAGAATTTCGGTAAGGTTTTCTCCAAAGTTGATTAGAATTCTTCGAAAATTGGAGGAAATTTTGGGTCTCTTTATCTCTCAAATATTAAAGAATTTTTGAATAAACAATGAGAGAACAAATGGTAGGAAAAGGTGGAATTTTCCAAATAAAACTGATGTGAAGGAGTCCCGAGCTTCGAACAACTGCACTCTGATTGATGGAAATAAGAAGGAACATAATTTTTAAAAATTCTAAAATTTCCTCGGATTTTCTCAACAATTTCACAAACTTTATTTGTTAATTCACAAGAATTTCGGAATTTTATGGAGAATTTGAAAAAATTTCAGATGATTAATGATTTAAGTTTCAAGTAATATAGCACCTAATAAAATTGTGACAAAGATCATGAATGAGAAGATACTTCGAATTAGTCAAAGAGTATCAGAATCAGTCTTATGATTTTCGCTAGAAAAATAATTGAATGCTATTGTCAAGTTGTGAAAGGGAATAAAGGGGGCGGCAAGATTAAAAAATTCTGAGTTGAGAGAAATTTACTAATTATTGTTTTGTACTCTGAATGGAATTTTGATTATAATTATAGTTCGAACGTCATTCATAGAGCATAGAAATTCAAAATTAGTGAATCACTTATTGAAATATTGACATTAAACAGGCAATCAAACGACAAACATTATTTTCATTAACCTTAACACTCAGTATAATAAGACGATAATGAATCATTAATTGTTGAAAGAGACACAAGGAAAAATAAAAAAAGACATAATGAAAGGGCTTCGGCGCTAGCGAATATGAATAAGGAGCCTTTCAGCCTGACNTGTGGAATTTTCCAAATGAAATTGATATGAAGTAGTTATGTGACACCAACTACTGCACTCTGATTGATTCAAATGGGAAAGTAAAACATAATTTGAAAAATCGGAGAATATAATTTCACAAAAATTTCCAAGTTTTTCAAGCAAAATTCACAAGAATTTCCGGATTTCATGGAGGATTTGACAAAAATTCAGATGATCCATCAAAGTTTCAAGTTCATGGCATCGTCGAATAAAATTGTGAAAAAGATCATGAATGACGAGAAAATACTCCGAATTAGCGAAGGAGCATCAGAATCTGTCATATAATTTTTCCAGCAAAAATAATTAAATGCTTTGGTAAAGGTGTAAAGGAGAACAAAAGGGGTGGCGAACACTAAACAATTCTGGGTTGTGTGAACTTCAATAATTATTGCTTCGCACTCTGAATAGAATTTTTATTATAATCATAGTTAGAACTTCATTCAGTGAGCACAAAAATTAAGAATCATTGAATCACTCATTGAAATATTGAAATTAAACAGGTGATGACCCGATAAGCATTGTGTCCATTAATCTTAATACTCAGTTTAATAAGACTATGATGAATCATTATTTTTGAGCAAACTTCCAAAAATATTGGATAAACGGCCAGAAAATTGGATTATTATGGAATTATTTTTATAAAGGAAGGTCGTGGTCTCCGGAAAATGCGATTTTTTCACTCATTCAATTCATTAGTCTACTCTGAAAAGTCGACTTTCTATTATTTCTCAAGATNCGGATTTCATGGAGGATTTGACAAAAATTCAGATGATCCATCAAAGTTTCAAGTTCATGGCATCGTCGAATAAAATTGTGAAAAAGATCATGAATGACGAGAAAATACTCCGAATTAGCGAAGGAGCATCAGAATCTGTCATATAAT